TATAATTAGATGTGATAGCATTATAAAACTTAAAAGCAAAAGAAAATTTGATTTGGTGGAGAATATGCTTAGTGTCATTTGGTGGAGAATATGCTCAGAGTCATATCCCAGTGGGTATTTGTTTTTAAAAGTTAAGTTTTAAATGTATTTTAAATGTCTTTTAAACGTTTTCTAAACATTCTTCCATAAAAAATGTTTAAAAGACATTTAGAATGCAACTTTTTAAAACAAATGTCCATAGGGATGTGTCTAAGTAGCAATATCATGAACAGCTTATGACCCTTTGTTTTTTAATTGTTATTTTAAATTTTTTATCTGCAAAAGTAAAAGAATATCTAGACTTCCATAAGAAATTTTAAACACCTAGCCTAGTGAAGCCATAGGAAATTTTAAACACCTAGCCTAGTGAAGCCATAGGAAATTTTAAACACCTAGCCTAGTGAAGCCATAGGAAATTTTAAACACCTAGCCTAGTGAAGCCATAGGAAATTTTAAACACCTAGCCTAGTGAAGCCATAGGAAATTTTAAATTTGTTTTGAAATCATTGAACTATCATAAAATGCTTTTAACTCAATTTCCTAAACTGCAAAATTGATTAAAATCATTACAACTGATTAAAATTTAGTTTTGACCAAAATGAGCCGTCTGTTTTAATAGAAACACCTAGCCTTTTAGTGAAGCCAACTTACCAAGTTTCAGGATCAATATTCTCAGTAACCTCCTTTAATTTCCTGAAAATTGTTGATTGTTTTTCTTTATATGTACATGTTTAACAAATTTATCACGCATTAGTTATAGATGTTATATAAGTTCTACCACAGTACAATTCTTTGAAATTTTTTTATGTTTGCATATACTTTAGTTTCATATTTTCCTCACTTATCCCAGGTTACTTTGAAGTCAAATACAACAGTTTCTAAGTATGTGGAGCTGTTTTATACCTTTGCATGCACAGATTTTGCATGTAAAATCCAATTTTTAATTAACTTTTTTAATAACTTGAAAGCTTCTTTCATCATATAATAAAAATGATGTATTGGCAGAGTACTGTTAATTACTGTAAATTTCAGCTTTTAAAATGTTGGAGGTAGATCCGAATTTTCTTACAAGCAGAATTGTTTTAAAGAATTGAAAAAACTTCAGCTTGCTTTTCTTTTGCATTTGATTGTGCGTCCAAAATTTTTTTCATTTGGTAGTGCATCTGCAACTTTTTTTATTTGGTAGTGCGTTTAAAACTTTTTTCAATGGTTTTTCCTCTTTGTTAGATGTTTTTAAAAGATGAACTCAGTCTTTAAAATTGTTTTATAAGTTTTTATTTTACATTGCAATTTTTTAAAACTCTTAGTTTTTTTTTGGCAAAACTTTTTTATTAGAATTCCCTTTTGATTTTTTGTCGATATCTCTTTGAATTCTCTTTGGATATTTTTTTCATTTATCAGGACTCCAAGAAACATATTTCCTTCTAATTTGGATTCCATTTCTAAAAAATGCACTTTTTTATAAGGAAAAAGCCTTATATTAAAAAAATATTTTCTCGTAGCACTTCACAGTGTTAAAATGCAAAACTTAATCAACCTAAAACCATAACAAAAATCTGAACTTTGGAATTAAAATCTTCCTTGAATAGGAAATCCTTGAATTCTTACTAGATGACCTCCTGTCGATGGGTTCAGTGATGTAACAGTTTTTTTTTTTAATATATATTTTGATTCACACCCAATTGGGCTGCAAGCAACAGAAAACTTAAAAAGTTGAAGGTTGTATGAGTTAGGAAAACATGAAGATGGGAGAGAGTTCAAATGAGTCCAACTACGTTGACAATACGTTTTTGAACCTTGTTCTGAAGAGAAAGAGCATCATTACAAAAACCATCCTAAATATGACAACAGTGTTACATACAGGGGCATATAAGAGATTTATTGAGGTAGAGAATAAAATTAGGAAACCTTAGCAGATGCTAATTTACCATTCAATTATATAAATGGTTTCTATGAAAGGTCAGTACTAAATGATAGTCCTAGAAGACATAAAGAAGAGGATTCAGTAAGGGGGTTACCTTTCATTAATATAGGAATGTCGACAGTACTGTAATTGTTGTTTGCAATAAATAACTAAATTTTGTTGGTTAAAATTTACAAGCCACTGTGAGCCCCAATCTGTTACAGAAGTTAGATCAGATTCAAGATTGGCTGCTTGTTCTAAGCGAATGAAAAGAGAAGACTATTTTTCAAGACAGGAGTATTTAGTCGATTCATCAGCAAAAAGATATCTTTTAGATGTAAGGTTCTAGGGAAGATTATTCATGTAGATAAGGCACCAAACAGGACCAAGGATAGAACCTTGAGGTACCCCAGAAGTTACTGTAAATAAAGAAGAGTGATGGCCTTCAAGGATGACTTTAATAACGTGGTTAGAAAGAAATGATTTATTCACAAAACCTTTCACAGATGCAACACATGAAACAAGTTTATGGAGAAGACCAGCATGCCAAACTTTGTCAAAAGCCTTAGATATATCAAGAGCCCTGCACTCTCCCCCTCCATATAATGCATGATAATATTTTTCGGTCACAGCAGTTAATAAGTCAGCCGTAGAGCGAGAGGATTGAAAACCGTATTGATTGTCTGATAGTGTTTCTGAAGTTATTTGACTTAAGATGGGATGTAAAAAACTTGTTGATCAAATGCTCAAAGATCTTGCTAATAACCGATAGAAGACTGATCCGACAATAATTGGAGAGGTCAGTATATTCACCAGAGTTTTTGCAGAGTAGAACATCAGATGCCATTTTTCAGCAGGCAGGAAAACAAGACTCAGTCAAGAACTTATTAAATTGTTTAGGGAGAATTAAAGAGAGTTCTGGAGAACAATTTTGTAAGACTATGACAGGAATGTTCTCTGGACCACAAGCCATGCAAGAGTTTAATCAAGATATGACTTTAGCAAAAGAAGTTGGAGTTATTTGAATATCTAACAGTGGGTTAACCTGTTTAATTGGAATGAAAGGAAGAAAGTGACCATAAGATTTGAGAGTCAAATTGGAAGAAAAGTTCTTTAGAAATAGTTCTGACTTATTCTTGGGAGAGATAATTAGAACAGTCCCATGAATAAGAGATGGAATGTTAGATCTAACTTTGTTAACACAACGCTGTCAAAAAATTTCCAAAAGTCTCTAGAGCCTAACTTCTGAGATAAGATACAAGATTTAGTGAACTGAGAATAATGGAGCCAAACCATGATCATTAAAGTAACCAATAACAACAATATTGGCAGAGAGAGAGAGAGAGGGTGGTCAATTTGATCAGAAATTAAATCTAAAAGAGTGCAGTCTTGGGATGTTGGAGAACAATAAAGAACAAAGAGAAAGGTAATAGAGTGAAGAGGTGCTAAGCGAAAGCACATTAAAGAATGATCAAAGGATTTGAACCTGATTTAACAACAAATAGGTAAATTGATGCATATGTATACCTCTAAGCCAAGTGACTATTGGAAACCCATCAACACTAAGATCAGAAAAAGGAATAGCAGGATTTCAATTAGTCTCACTAAGAGCAGGCAAGTCTGGTGAATTTTTCAAGAGGTTAGATTCAACTGATGGAAGGTGCAGACCTCGAATATTTGTAAAAGATATACTAAAACAGTTAGGTAGTGGGAATGATTTTTTATGTTAAATATTTTGTTTTATTTTAAAGAAAACTTGACTTATTCATTGATAGAACATGGCCTCCTAAGCAATGAGCTATGCATTTTTCTCAGTCCTTTTAATTAACCCTAAGTTGTAACTTAGGGCTCCTTTTTGGATTCAATAATGCGCACCAAAAGTATTAAAAGGGACACCATATATATGCTATATTTTAAACTATAGTTTAAATATAATGCTTTTTAATTATTATTATTATTTTTTTTTTTTTGCAGAGCAATAGCTATTTCACTTTTTATTATGAAATTAAAAAACCTTGCCCTATATATCCTATATTTAATTTGTCCTACATATAGTTTCATATTGATAATTAAATTTAAAACTATAATTAATCTAATAAGTTCAGTGCTGCAAACTAATTTTTGCAGATGTGTATGTGACATATAAAATCCAATAGTTTTTACTCAAGTCATATATTTAATCTTAGAAACCTTTTGAAACAAAAGTGTAGATATATTTTGTTTAAAAGGTTGCAAAAACTTGCTGGTAAGTTTTACTTTTTCAAATAATAAAAAGAGGAAACAACTGCTGACATTCAGCAAATTTAGCTACTCTGTTCAAATATTTTAAACTCAAAATGTATTTTAACAGAAATTTTAAAGTTTTTTAAACTATAAATATAGAAAAAAGTGAAATTTATCTCTTCCATTAAGGCAATAGCTATATATAAGCACACACATATGCATGCAAAAAATAAGGCAAACAACAGTCAACAGTTAACCAAAGTAATAAAACATCTAACTTATAAACACCTGAAATATTACTAACAAGGTATTTATAAACTAGCTAACAAAATACAGCTAACAAACATTCAAACACTAATTAACTTGCTTCATTTATTAAAGTGTTAATTAACTTCATTTTCACACTCATTTTTAAACTCAAATTTTTTTTTGTGACTTGCAGTCCTGTTGACAATTATAATTAAATAAAAATTTAATTTAAAAGATCTTAAAACTTTTTTTTCAAGAGCTTTTTTTTCTCTGGCAAGGAGATTTATCTTAATAAGGGTTAAAGATAGTGTTTTTTTTTTTAATTTTTTCAAATATATTTATCTTAATATTTATATTATATCCTTATAGTATCATAATACACACACTATTAGCTTTTTAGCTCTTAAGTATTAGTTATGTATTATATATATATGTAGTTATGTGTTATATATGTATGTAGTTATGTGTTATATATGTATGTAGTTATGTGTTATATATGTATGTAGGTATGTGTTATATATGTATGTTGTTATGTATTACTCAAAAACAAACTTGTTTTGACTACACACTTTACTTTTTTTTCTAGATCATCCTTGTACAATAAATAATGGCAACTGCTCTCATCTTTGCTTATCTTCCAAATACTGGCATAAATGTGATTGTCCTGATGGAATGAGTTTAATGAGTGATGAAAAAAATTGCGAAAACAGCTCAACAATAAGTAATAATTTAATATAAATATTTATAACCTAATATATTGAGTTTAATAGTTTTTATTAGTCAAAATTGTATTCTAAAAATTTTGCTGTTTTGAAATTAAGAAACAACAACAACAACAAAACAAAAAAACAATTGACATTTAAGACTGTTTTGTATTACAATAATAAAACAAAACTCATAGTTGTAAAAGAGTGCTTAAAAAGATATTTCAAATAGAGATATACATATATATATATTAACAAAGAAAAAACAACTTTTTCTATAGTACTTTAAGTTTCATACCTATACGGCAATCGTCAGCCATTGAACACAAAATCAAAAACAAAAAAACCCACTAAAAATTACAAAATACTGTGTTGTGGGATTTTTATGTCGCTAAAAGACAACTCAGTAACATTTTTATATTTATGTTATACATATAAAAATGTTACTGAGTTGTCTTTTAGCGAAAAAAGTTTCTGACTACAAAGAAAAAGTATAAGTCAAATTATACTTTTTCTTTGTAGTCAGGTTTATTTGACAAAATTAAAACTTGATTTAAATAATGCATCTTTATAAGGAGGAATGGATTGTTTAAAAATATTTTTCTTAGAAGAATTGGTTGAGAATCTTAGTTTGATAGTTTGAGAAAGACTTTTATGCTAAGAGGATACTTTAGCATACTAAAGACTTAGTATGCTAAGAGGGTGGTTAGAGTCAGATGATTTCTGTATGATGATTGCCGTATAGGCATGAAACTTAAAGTACCATAGTAAAAATTGTTTTTTCTTCTTTAATATATATATATATATATATATATATATATATATATATATATATATATATATATATATATATATATATATATATATATATATATATATATATATATATATATATATATATATATATATATATATATATATATATATATATATATATGTATATATATATATATATGTATATATGTATATATATATATATATATATATGTATATATATATATATATTTATATGTATATATATATGTATATATGTATATATATATATGTATATGTATATATGAATATATATATATATATATATGTATATATGTATATATATGTATGTATATATATATATATATATATATATATATATATATATATATATATATATATATATATATATATATATATATATATATGTATATATATATATATATATATGTAGTTATTGCAGATTTTATGCGGAATGCATTTATAAAATTAACCACAAAAATTTTCTTTATTAGACGTATTGCAAACAAATGCGTTTATGACAATTATATGCGTTTCTAAAACAATTAAAACTAAATTTTCTAGATTGTTTAAAAAATTGGTATATATACAGGCAAAATTTTCATAGTTCCATTAGTTTGTTTTGAACATTTTTTATTAAAATTTGTTATTTAATTATTACAATGCCATGCGGAAAAGTGTTAAATGAGTAAGAAAAAGCTAAAATTGTTGCTTAAAAAGATATGGGTTTGTCCAATGGACATATTGCAAAGAAAATTAAAAGGTCTCCTCATGCAGTGAACAATTTTATAAACTTAGGTAAAAATATCAGCAAAAAGTCACTTTAAGGGCTGAAATAAAAAAACAACAAAAAGGCAACATTCTTCCATTTTGTGTTTTGCGGCATCTGGAGTACGAACAGCAAGACAAATAAGGACTGAACTTGAATTACCTGTGACTACAAGATGTGTCCAAAAAATTTTGTCAAAATCAGGATTCAAAATCAGGATGATTTCAATAGAAAAAAAATGATCACAAAACCACCATTGACAAAAAACATTAAAGTGCAAGATTTAAGTATGCAAAGGACCACATGACATAGGTTGCAGAATGGGAAAATGTTATTTTTTCCGATGGAAAAAAGTTTAACTTAGATGATTTGAAAAAAAAAAATATCCACACCATAACTGTCCCTCCTCTGAAGTTACGATCTCATTTGACTCTGAAGTTACGGATCGCATTTAGTTTCCAAGGCAAAATTTCAATATGTTTTATTACCACAAAAATGAATGTAAGAAAATACGTAGATCTTTTAGAAAATGTTTTTATAGAGTTTAGTGAAGGTTTACCTACTGAGAACTGGATTTTCCAACAAGATGTGGCAATTCACACGACATGAAGTGTAAAAAAGTGGTTCCAGGGAAAAAATATAAATGTTTTGGATTGGCCATGACACCTGTTCATGTTTGACATTATAATACAATACAAGAACTTCAAACATCTATCCAACAAGCATGGAATGGTATTTTAAAAGGTTTGTAAAGAAAATCTTATAAAAAGTATGAAAACTGAATCTTTATTTTTTACTTTTACTTTTACTTTAAAAATTAATTAGTGTAAAAGGTGGTAGAACACATTATTAAAACTAAACTAATTAAAAAATTATTATCTTGAACGGAAATTATAAAGGATTACCTTTGATGAAACTATAGAAATTTCGCATGTTTTTTCAAAATATTTCTAACTTTTAAGTTTTATGAAATAAATTAATAATTATTTTCTGTTAAAATATTATTTGCTTATTTATTTATTCCTAATAATTCCTGTGATGAACAAAAAAAAATGATAATACTTCATGAATTTCTTTATATGTTCAAATTGTAAGTGGAACTATGGAAATTTTACTGAGTGTATATATATATGTATATATATATATATATATATATATATATATATATATATATATGTATGTATGTATGTATGTATGTATGTATGTATGTATGTATGTATGTATGTATGTATGTATGTATGTATGTATGTATGTATGTATGTATGTATGTATGTATGTATATATTTATTATATATATATATATATATATATATATATATATATATATATATATATATATATATATATATATATATATATGCAGGGTGTTAGCCAGGAATTTTTTTTTTATGTATATATATATACATATATATATGTATGTATATATATATGTATGTATATATATGTATATATATATGTATGTATATATATATATATATGTAGGTATATGTATGTATGTATATATATGTATATATATATGTATGTATATGTATGTATATATATGTATGTATATATACATATGTATATATATGTATGTATATATATATATATGTATATATATATATATACATATGTATATATATACATATATATATACATATATATATATGTATATATGTATACATATATATACATACATATACATACATACATATATATATATACATACATATACATGCAGACATATACATACATAAATATATATGTTTTCCTTACATCAAGAAAAGTAGTAAAAAAAACTATTTTACTGAAGATTTTAATAAATGCTTTTGTTGCATTTACCACGTTATCAGTAAATAATTATTGAAATAACTGTTTAAAAACTGTTTTAAACAGTTATTAACTATATTTTAATAAATTTAATTTAAAATAATAATTAAAAATGTCTAAACAATTTTTAATCAATATTTACATTACATAATATATTTATATATATATATATATATATTTATATATATCGCGTAATATTTGTAAAATTAACAAAATAGTTTTATGCCTTGTATTTGAATTAAAAACATAAGCATTTAATAAACAAATTCGATAAGCATTTAATAAACGCATTTAATAAACTATTCAAATAAAAACATAAGCATTAAATAAACTTATTTTCTATTATTTTAGATTTAAAATTTTGATTTAAATATTAGTATTTTTTGATTTAAATATTAGTATTTTAACATATTGAACTAAAGATGATTAGTGTTAATCGAATCATGTATTGTTTTTTATTAATAAAATGGTTTTATGAATTAAAAAATTTGTCTTGTTTATGAAAATATTTACATTTTTGGTGCTTAAAAAAATTTTTGGATTTATATATATATATACATACATTTATAGGGAGATATGTATTTATATGTATATATATACATCCTGTTATGCGTGGTATTTCCAAATGCTCATATATTTGAAATTCTCTAAATCTATTATTTATTAATATTCGTAGTCTTTGAAGTAACTTTTCTTCTGTTGAGTCCTATATCTTGCAAAGTTCACCAGACATACTTGCTCTTTGTGAGGGTAATTTGAGTTCAGCTGTCTCGTCTTGTGACCTTAGTGTTGTTGGTTATCTTTGTTTAATTTGTAAAGAATCAAATAGGAATATGCTTGGGCTGGGCATTTACATTTTAAAGAGTTAACCTATTGATTGGCAAACTAGATTTGAATCCATAGGCTATTCTTGTATGTGCTTTCATTTAGCACCACTTCACTATTTAACTTTATATCACTCTCCTTTATCTCAAACTGCACTCTTTTCAATATTTCTGATTAAATTGACCAAACCTTTCTCTTTATCCTTCAGCCAATACCGTTGTTGTTGGTGACTTTAATGCTCATCACTCTAAATGACTTGTTTCTAGTGCCAATGATTCAACTAGCTTTCCAGACATTCCGAATCATTTACCTTCTCTACTCGACTTATGTCTTGTTTCTGATCCTAATCAGTGCTCAGTTTCTCCACATTCACTCTTAGGTGCTTCTTATCACAGTTTGACTTATGTAACTTCTTGGATTCAGGCTAGCATATAATATTTTATTCCCTCTTGACAATTCCAAGTCAAGCCTCACTCTTCTCCATGGTTTTTCACTCATTGTGCTACTATAATTTCAAATCGCAACCATTACTTCCTCATCTATTGCCAAATCAGTTCTCCAGAAAAAAACGTCTGTTTTCTATTGCTATCACTATTGTAAAAAGATGTTGTCTAATGCCAAAGTAAGTTATTCTCAGGTCAAAAAATTTTGTATTTCATCTCAAAAGTTAGGCTCCAAAAATTTCTGGAGAAACTTTAACAGTGTCTAAAAAAAAAGATAAATCTGTTATTATTTGCCAAGAACTTTTCATCAATTTCATCTCTTGATTCCACTATTTACATCCTACTTGATATAGCTGAAAAACAAGTTGATCCGTTGCTTGACATAAGAATCACTCCAGCCTTTGTATTTAGAGTGATTTCCTGCTAGACTCTTCTACAGCTTGTGGTTTGGTTTTACTTTTGCTTCTTGATCGACATCATTGTCAAAGAAAGACAAAACAGGCAGTTCATCTGTAGATTCCATAAATACTGGCAAAACTTCTGTAAAGCTGCTTTGGAAATACTTTTGTATGTTGTTTTGTAAATTTTCAAGAACTTCAAAAAGTTTCAGTCCTGATAAGGTACTTTTACTGCAAAAAAGCATTGGAAAGCATTCAGAATTTGACATAGGATGTTATGATAGACAGACATCCAACAGAACTGCCTTATCCTTGTTTAAAATTCTGAGTTGGGAGCTTAGTAATGATATTTTCAACAAATAAATGACTCTCGCTATTCACCAAATTTGGTGCATAGCCCCTGGAGCCCAAATCTTAAATTTCTTCTCTGTATCTCCACCAAGAAATATTATTGAAAGCTCAATTAATTGATGATACTCATCTCTAGTTATTTTTTTTAGTCAATTCAAATTTGTAGAATTCTAGCAGTTTATCAATTTCTGAAACATTTAAACAAGATAGCTTTTCTGTACAGTTTTATATTTTTTCAGCATTGATATTTTTCCAGTTTTCTTGGATTTTTTAAACAAAAAATGTCTGGGCTTGTAGTTACTTTGGCTGATTTTTGCTTCAAACACATTTTTTAATAATAGTTTGTAGACATGATAATGGCAAGCAAAAATAAGCATATCTTTATTCAGTTTTTATTCAAGAAACGCACATGCACCATTAATACAGCCTATATTTGAAACAGTAGTATCACAACAGAGAATCTGCACTTTTTCCTCAATACTCCAGTTGATAATGGCATTCCAAACAGTCTGTGCCTGTTCCCTTCCTGTTGAACTGTCTACTTGTATAGCTTTAGCCCGCTCTCTTTGCATTTTAATATAAATTCTATGGATTGAGGACTTGCTTATAGAAAATTCATCTGTGCTCTAGTGCGTTAATAGTAGCTTCAATTATAAATATCTCCCACACTTAACTGACACTTAACGTGGCAACCAACTTCAGAGTTATAAAATTTTTCCCCATACAAGTTTTATTGGGTTGAAATAAAATACTACTTAGGCTGGGTCTATTTTCTTAAAAAATCTATTATTTCAGAATCAGAAGATAAGTTTTCTTGTGGTGGTTCATAAGATGATGTTGATGGAGCTAACGAATCATAATATTTAGCACATCGCTTTTTCTTCTTAATGTTTCTAAAGCTTTTCTTCTTTTACTGCAAGTTTTTTGTTCACTCCTGTTTGTCCACACCTGTTAAATGACCAGGTCAACCTGGTTTTCTTTAGTGCTCCAAGAAAATCTTATCTTCATTTATTTTAATTGAAATGAATTAAAGTCCTTGTTGAGGTTATTCAAACGCTTCTTTTTTTTTTACGCATTTTTTTGTTAATCTCTCCAAACTTGGTATAATAAAACTAGCTTCTTAACACAGGTAATGTTTTAATGTGCCTTTTCACAGTAAATAATACATGCATAAATAGTAAGATTTACACTTTCATTGATTCATTTCATTAAATTCACTTTGATATAATGGCATATCATATAACAACAAATAAATTATATGATATGCTGTTATAGTTTTGAAAATAAATTAAAAACTATAAATTAAAATTGTAATGAAATTTTTTTGTTTAAATCTTTTATTTGTTTAAATATTTTATCATTACCTTTAAATTAGTCATGATTTTTTTTCAGCTCCAGGACCTTGGAATATTTGTTCTATGCCAAGTGATCACGGACCTTGTCAAAACGATGAAATAAAATGGTCATTTAACCCTCTGACTAAGTCATGTCAACAGTTTTTATATGGTGGTTGTGGAGGAAATGAAAATAACTTTGATTCAAAAGAAAATTGTGAAAATGACTGCGGAGGTAGTTTTTTTTTTTTTTTAATAATAATTATTTTTATTTTTAAAAGAGTATATTTTTATTTATTTTTTTCATTTGTATTTTTTTTTTTGTAATTCACCACTATAAAACAATCTTAGAGTTATGTTAAACTTAAGTTACAATTTCAGTGTTCATCATTAGTGGCATTTTTTCTTATGTTTCCATGACAAAAAAGGTTGCCTTGAAGCTAATATATGGACTAATTGTTTATGACTGTTTACTACTTGAATTACAACATGACTGCTTACAATTTTTTACAAGATTTTTATAGGGTTAGGAATAGGGAATATTTGCAAAGTTTTATTTTTTTAGAAAAATCTAGACATTTTTAGAACAATCAAAAGCTTGATATATAATTAGTGCCTATGTGAAGTTATTTTCAAATGAGTGAGGTTATTTTCTGAATTGCCTAATAGTAGTATATTATGTGGCACAAAAAAAAAAACAAAAAAAAAACAAGTACTATGCAACAGAACAAAGATACCTGGACTGAAAAACTGGATTGAATTCAGTTGTGGGCATAGCCATTTCCAAAGAAACTACAACACTTTGAAAAAATATATAGGATTTTCCATATATTTCAAATCAAGTAATGTGAGCAAAGTTTGGCAAGGTATTGAATATTTTCAATGAATTCTTCAAAAAGGAAAAATACAATACTCTAAATGAACTTTTTGATAATAATAATGTATATGGTCAGTGGTTATTCATTAAAAATAAACAACTTTACCACTAACTGAGCAGGCTGAAAATAAGTAAATTATTCACCTTTCAAAGAGACAAAAGTTGACTTCTGAATCAGCCTCAACATCTAAATTTTTATATTACAATCATGTAATACAAGTAATTGTTACAGAAGTGAGATTATATTCAAGATCAGCTGCCAGTTCTAAGCGATCAAAAAGATGAGACTTAACTTTGAAAGACATGAGTATAAAGTTGAGTTCACTAATGTAGATAAGAAACAAAACAGGATCATAAATTAAACCTTGAGGTACCCCAGAAGTTATTGGAAATGAAGAAGAGTATTGTCTTTCAAGTATGACCTTAATAAAGTATTTAAAAAGATTTGATAATCTCAAAAACTTTTCTAGATACACTAAATAAGGCCAGTTTATGGAGAAGAAATGCTAAACTTAATGGAAATCTTTAGATATGACAAGAACAATAGCCCTAGCCTTGTCGACTCCAACTAATGCATGATTTCAGTCACAGCTGTTAGCAAGTCAGCAAAAGGATCCCAAACTGTATTGATTTTCTTACAGTAAGTTATTTGACTCAAGATGGGATGTGAAAAATTTGTTGATCAATTACTCAAAGACCTTGCTAATAATGGATAGAAGACTGATCGGACAATACTTAAAGGGGTCAGAATGTTCTCCAGAGTTTTTAAAAATCAGAACCATTTTCCAGCAGAAAAGAAATTAGAGATTAGAGAGAATTGAAGAAAGTTCTAGAGATCACTTTTGTAAGGCTATGACAAGAACTCCTTTGCGGTAGTAGGCTATATATAAATATATATATATATATATATATATATATATATTATATATATATATATATATATATATATATATATATATATATATATATATATATATAAACAAAGAAAATACAACTTTTTATGGTACTTACAGTTTTATGCCTAAAGGCAATCATCAGCCATCTAATCAAATATATACAAATCAAGAAACAAAAAAACTGTTAAAACATAATATTACAGTGGAGTGTGTTCTGTTGTCATAATAATAAACAACAAAAAGAAAAAGAGGAAAATTTGAAAATGGCGCTCTATTCACCCGAATTGAATTTTGAAAAAAAGAAATTTGTTTTTATGTCTACATTTAGATACTAATTCATTTCATTTTATTTACGATATATATAATCTAAATTTTATATATTAAAAACATTGAGCACTCTATTTGTAGAATACATAATACTCTATTTGTAGAATACATAACTTTGTGGATTCAGGCTGGCATGGAATCTTTTATTCCCTCTTGTCAAATTCAGGTCAAGCCTCACTCTACTCCATGGTTTTCCTCACATTGTGCTGCTATAATTGCCAATCGAAACCATTACTTCCATATCTATCAGCAAAACAATTGCCTGTCTGTTTATTACTGCTAGGAACCATTGTAAAAAAGTTTTGTCTAATGCCAAAGCCCGCTATTCTCAGGTCATGAAATCTCTTATTTCATCACAAAAATAAGACTCTCGTGACTTCTGGAGAATCTTTAATAGTATCAATAATAAGGACAAGTCTGTAATTCCACCTCTCTTGTATGGTTCAGACTTTGTCACCTCACCTAAAGACAAAGCTGAATTGTTTGCTAAGAACTTTTCATTAATATCACATCTTGATTCCACTAGTTGCGTTCTACCAGATATAGCTGTGTTTGACATTCGTATCACTCCAGCTTCTGTATCAAAAGTGATTTCCTGCTCATACTCTTTTACAGCTTGTGGCCTGGAAAAGATACCTCTTATAGTCTTACAGAAGTGTTTTCCGGAGCTGTGTTCTATACTTTCAAAACTTTCAAAAATTCAACAAGTGCTTATCAGAGTCTTGTTTTCCAGCCTGCTTGAAAGCAGCATCTGTTATCCCTATTTTTAAAAGTTCTGGAGAGCGGTCTGATTTGTCTAACTACCCTCCCATTAGTCTTCTTCTTATCATAAGTAAGGTTTTTGAATCTTTAATTAACAAACACTTAATCTCTTATCTTAAATCTAATAACTTACTTTTTGATCATCAATATGGATTTCAATTTTTTTGCTCTAAGGCTGATTTGCTAACAGTAATAACTGATAGATTTTATCGTGCATTAAATAAAGGTGGAGAGGATAAGGCTCTTGACATTTCTAAAGCGTTTGAAAAAGATTGGCATGCTGGTCTTCTCCATAAGCTTTCTTCTTACAGTGTATCTGGAAACATCTTTAAGATTATTGTATCCTTCCTTTCCAATCATAGTATAAAAGTTGTCGTTGATGGACAGCACTCTTCTTCTTATTCTGTAACTTCAGGGATTCCTCAAGGTTCAATCTTTGGATTTATACTTTTTTTAATTTGCATTTCGATCTTCCAGATATTCTCACGTCTAAGGTCACATTGTTTGCTGATGATACTACCATTTGTTATTGTCATGATACAAAGCCAACACTCTGATTGCTTGGAGGGGGCATTCAAGCTTGAAAAGAACCTCACTTCTGCTGCAGCATGGGGCTCTCAGGCTGGTGAACTTTAATTCAGATAAAACTTTTTTTTTTTCAGCCAATCGTTATCGCAATAATTTAGACCTTCCTATACTTATGAATGTTAATGTACTGGATGAATCATCTATGCTTCATCTTCTCAGATTAACTCTTACTTCCAATCTTTCTTGGAAACCATATATCAAATCTGTTTCAAAATCTGCTAAAGTTGCATCTCTTTATCGAGCTCCTCACTTTCTTACTCCAAATTCTATTCTCTATCTCTATAAATCTTAAATTCGGCCTTGTATGGAGTACTTTAGCCACATCTGGGGCGGATCTTTTAATGATGCCCTAATGATGCTCTTTTAGACAAGGTGCAAAAACGCATTGTAAACATAGTTGGACCTGTTCTTGCAGCCAACCTTCAACCATTATCACATCGTCTTAATGTCACTTTTCTTTCTCTTTTCTACAAATACTATAATAGGCACTGCTCTAAAGAGCTAACGTCTCTTGTGCCATCTACTAAACCTCATCCTTGTGTTACTCATCATTCAATTAAGTCTCATCCTTTTTCTGTGACTGTTCCTAAGTGCTCCAAAAACTCTTATTCCACTAGTTTTTTTCCTTGAACATCAGTTCTTTGAAATTCGCTTCCTTTATCTTGCTTTCCTGGTTCATATAATTTGATATCTTTTAAGTCGTCTGTCAATCGTTATTTTGCTTTTCAATCTTCATCTTTTCTCTTCCAGTAACTTCCAACTTTAATTAGTGGTTGCTTGCAGCCTTGCTGGGAGCAAAGATGATTAAAAAAAAAAAAGTGAAAATGTTAAAATAAAAACTAAAAAAAACTAACCTTTATACGCATTTAGAAGTTTCAAAAAAATATTAAAAAATTTAACAAGCTAAACAAACTGATTTAATTTCAAAAGATTCCCAGATTTTTTCTTTCCCAATAACAAGATAATCTATGTCAAAGTTTTGCTGTATATTGGATAACCTATAATTTTAACTTGAATGGTTTCTATTAACTAAAAATATAATTTTTCTTTTCCTTAGTTTTGTCTAATTATTTTTTTCTGGTTTAAAGTTTAATATATTGCCCAAAGTTAAAAATCTTAAAAATTCGATGCTTTATGGGTAACCTACATTCTTATATATTGGTAATATATTTTTGCTCTGTTTTTTTAGTTAATTTATCAACTGCCAAAATTTTATGTTTCAAAAGAGAACTAAAACAAAGATATTATTATTATTAATTTTATTATTATTAGCTAAATTTTTCATTTATATTACTGTTTATTTTCATCTCGCAGTTCAATGTCAGAAAATATAAAGATAACATGTTGTTTTTATAATAAATAAAAAATAATCGAGCCAATATAACTGTAATTATCATACTCTCACTCTTATGTTTTTTTCTAATTTCTTGTCTATATCCTCTTTTGGGTGATTATCACCATGACACCAGTCATTACATTTGCTAATGAATAAAATAAATAATAACAATGAATAAAATCAAATCTAATACAGCAGCCAATTCCAAGATTTGGTAATGTAACCTAGATCATAAAAAAACCGTTTCCTAAAGAACTTACTGGGTTAATCACTGCTGGGCATTTCCATTTCTGTGTGTGATTTTTTATTTTTCTTTGTTTTAGCAATTAAAAGTAACTTGTGTAAAAAGTAAAAGGGACAATTAAAAGCTGGGACTTTATGCAATATACATACTATTTTGATTTTCTTAAAGAACAATTATCAACAAAAATATTTTTATCATATCTTAG